CTTGCAATGCAATTTACTGATAAACAAACGTGCGAGATATGCGTGCGATACCCTATATGCGACAAACAAACCCCTCCACGTGATTTATAAGTACTACAGAGACTAATTTCCTCGCTAAGATCCTCGCCACAAAAGAAATATTGCATTTTTGTGGCTAGTGTGCTCCAAAGGTGACACGATCAATCCATGAGCAGTATCCAATCCCTCCCCAGGAAAAGCGTCCCTCGCTGCCGATTCAATCCTAAGTTTGATGGAAAGTGGGTTGCGTCGAGGACCCATCATACATCTGCGTTTTTACCTTCGAGACAGAACAGCACGACCCTCAAGAGAAAAGAGTGCTTTAACAAGGGGGGGGGGAGTAGCTACCCATTCAACGTTTGATCGCAGGTCCCATTGCGCACCCTGTCTCCCCAATCTTAGGATTAAATCAGCGGCGGGAGACGCGTCCCTCTGGGGGAAAGATTAGATACGGCCTCTTAAGGAGTCGTCACCTGCTTGATTCGGGAGGGTGATTTTGTCATTCCTACGTAGAAAATATACTCTCCACTTGAAGACCATTTTGCACTCATATTTTCAATCCACCGCAAAATTTCATCAACACAATTCGGCCGGTAAAAACGTTAAAAACCTTTTAAGATATCAAACACCTACGTGATTTAAAAATCGACTTCTTTTGGTAGCAAATCCAATCTGCATGACACCTGGAGTGAATACGGTAGCCTCGTAGAACCATACACCATCTTGCACTGCGAATGTACATCTGACGGACTCAAATGAGGATACGTCGCAGCGAGCCTATGGAGTATACTCTCGTAATTCAATTTAATTATCGATGAAAAAAAAACAAATGTTCAAGTGACTAATGAGAATGTAAATGAGACTAACTCACCTCCAGTCCGTCCGGTCCAATCTTTAAATATTCACTGACGTCCTCATGATTTAGCATAGCATTTATTTTCGACACATCAGTAGTCTCATAGGCATAAGTTCGATTAGGAGTAATGACTGGAAGAAAGAATTACAGATTAAAATATTTATCCAGATGAGATTACAAGGTGGCGACATTAGGGGATTAATTGCTGGAACATTGCTATTGGTTGACTTTGGTCAATAACCCAATCTCCAATCTCTTGGTATTGTGCTGTCCCTGAGTCTCATCAGGGCCTAAATGTTGTATAGCACAAAGAGGCACCAAAATTTAATTTCAAAAGAATTCCAAAAGTTTTGTAAAAGTAACTTTCGGAATTCTTTTGAAATAATTTGGATAAAATTTTGGTGCCTCTTTGTGTTATACAACATCCAATCTTCAATCCTAAACAGAGCACAAAGGCAGCAGTGCAAAATATTGCTTAAGAACGTCAAAACTACTCCGTTTCAAAGAATCTCGTTCCAACTATCTTCACGAATTTCTTTCGAAAATATGATCAAAGCAATGGCACGACATAACTTACAGATATTGTCAAGCGCCCATGTCGCACAGAATCCTACTTGTCGTTTCATTGCATTCGACGTGCAATGCCGCCATTCTTCCAATTGCTGGAATAAGATTAAACTTGAAACATGAGACGGCGAGAAAGCACTACCGTAGAACAGAGGTGGCATAAAAATTCCAGTTCTAGTCCGGTAATAATAGTGAACAAAATCCCGAATGATGAAAATAAAACGGCTTATGAAAAGGGTAAAGGGGCTGGGAGCTTAGAAGCAAACCTTGAGTGGATGTGTCGGTGACTCCTCCAGCGTCCGCGATATCATAAATTGGTTTTCGCTTGTCTGAGCGAATTTCTCCAGAGCCAGCAAAGCAAACAATACCACACGCGCTTGCGTAAATGGAGGCAACTGAAATTTTTCATTGAACAGCTACAAACCAAACTGAAGAGAAGATGAAGATAACTGACTATTCGAGATATCAGATAATTTAAAGTTGTCGAATTGCACATAGCCACACTGCTGCTTCCAGCGAGTTTCTCTGCTAAGGACCCTGAAACCACAAGAACAGTGAATTGGTAGACAGAAAAAAAGCCACTAAAACTCGACAAGACTGATCATATGCATATGACAGTTGACAACTAACCCACTCATCGTCGGTCGTCCGAAAATAACGATCGTATAGCATAGGATGCGTATCGATCGTCCAATCCTAGGACACGTCCTACGATCGATACGCATACAATGCTGTGCGATTATCACAACCATTCCGATCGGACGAACCGACTATGAATGCGCCCTAACAGCCAAAAAAAACACTGCCTATTAGACGTCCAGTTTTACGCATCTGCTGAATGATGTTCTAAGCGAAAAAGGCCTACCTAAAACTATGCAAGTGTTCCGGTGCCAACTGCGTTTTCGTGTCGATGACGACGAAGAAGCGTGGTCAAGGCGGAGGGAGCACAGTAGGCGATGAACAGTGTCCTGAAAGAACAAAATTTGAAGATGTTTTCTTCCCATTAACTCAACTGTCGAACCTTCGAAG